AAGAGCGCCAGAAGATTTTTTAGAGGTGTTACAAGAGAGTAACAAACATAAAAAAAAGAAGGAGAGGAGATAAGGATGATAGATGTTTGATAGGAAATAAAAAGCAAGCTACACCAGAGCACCTGCCAACCACCCACTAACTACAAAAATGATTTGCTCTCTCTCTCTCTCTCTCTTTATACAATTCAAAACACTAGCTCCCTTAAACAAAACCCCTTCGGAAAGGACGCCGAAAAAGAACAACGGCAGGAACTCGTTCCTTGAGAGAGAAGAAGAAAGCTACTTGTGTTGTTCAAATGCAAAAAAATCTGGTTGCCCTTTACTTTAGTTTCTCACATTAAGGAAGAAAAAAAAAAAAATGTCTTGCTCAAACTTTCAAAATAAACTTCAGAAAACTATAAATCTTCTATTGTCCTCTCAACCACTTCCGCTCCCTTTCCCACACTTCTAGTAACTTATCCCACATCCCAAAAGTAGACTTTTTGTCAGGGACGTGAAGACAGGACAGAAAAAGTTCAGAAGATACGAGAGCTAAAATTGAACACAAAACTACGACCGCCACTTAGGAAAGAAAAAGCAGCAGTTCCCTGTTGCAGTTCAGGCACAGTTATGAGCATGACATGTTGGTGAATCAGCCCATTTACAATTCTACAGCGCATAATGGCCTAAAGACACTTTAGTCAGTAGCACTGCCAGGGGGGGTCAAAAACTGTCCTTTCTCTCAGTGGACGGGTATCTCATCTGTGACAAAACCAAAAGGAACTCTCCTGTCTGCCTTCTGGTTCACTCCACAGAACAAGACGTGAGTCTCTACAAATGCTCCACTAGAAGAATAGATCGACAAAGTCTGACAGTCTTTGGGAACGCTGAGAACAAATACAACATGACATGGTATGGGTTCCATGCCCCTTTCAACACAGCCGGTTCAGGCAAGGTCTCACCGCCTATCTATCTTTCTATCTGTCTGTCTGTCTATTTATCACCAAGCAGGCCGAAGGGCTAGAACTCAGATGGCCACTGGACTGCAAAAGGAAAAACAATCTATCAACAAGAAATTTGGGCAAACAGACCAGAGAGTCGAGAAAATTTATAAAAAATGAAATCCGATTTCAAGACTGAACCATTGGAAAGGAAAAACCTGGTGGCCAGCAGTCTTGTCCTGCATGATGCGAGTGGAACCATCATCATCAGTCAAAAACCTCTACCTTGAAACTCACAGCAGCGAGTGACCGAGCTCAAACTTTGACCAGCGGGTGAACCCTTTGTGGGGAGACGTCCGGAGAGAATACGCAGAAACACACAAGACTTTTCCCTGTCTACTGATCTGCCGCCGGCAGCAAAGACAACATAATGAACAAGAGCAGTAGCCCCATGCACATCCACATACAATAGCCTAGCGCTATATCACACGGTGGCTGACTCCTACAGGACAAGATACCAATGGGTTGACAAGTTAGTGAATGCTATATCTAGGTTAATATTCTTCATTCCGACACAGGCAGTCATGCGCTTTAACATTTGAGAATAATATACATAACATACTCATCAAGATCACTGTTAACATATAAGGGGTGACAATGACGAGGAATACATAAAACAAACTTTTACGAGTACAAAATACGACAGACAAGTATAGACAGCTTTCTCTCTGGCCACCAATGTTGTGCCCGTCCCTCTCTGAACAAGACTATGCCCCCCCCCCCTCCCCTTTCTCATCTTCTTGCTGTTCCTTTTCTTCTCAAGTCATTTTCTCGTTCCCTGTTCCATCACAGCTGACAGCTATAACACTTACTTATTGAGCAATAGCTGACTTGGTTGTGCATCAAAAAGGACTACGGAAAGTCTTATACACCCACAACAAGGCAATCCACGGGGGAGAAGGAGACCCGATTTCATTTATTTTAGTTGCCCAATATCTATTTTTAGATTTTCGGTGATTTTCATAGCTACTTTGCCTTAATGTTATCTAACATCAAACCTCATTGAAAACTGCACTAGAAATAAGAGACGGGGACATTTAGTCATCTGGATTGTCCACCCTGACATACTGGACCATACTGCAGTGGCTGGCACTAGCGGTCTTATAGTCAATGGATTCCGTTCAAGTAAATGTGAGGCAGCGTGGTGGAATCAGGCTCTCGTCAATTTTTGGGCATGTAGAGTTATTGTTATCATCTTATAGCATGTTCACTTGTCTTTACTTGGATGAAAAAAATATCCATTTATCTTGAATACAAGTCAAGATATTAGCGAAACAAGGAGGTAGAGGTCACCGGTTTTCAGAGGTAAAATTAGTGAGAAAATGGCTGCCAGAGATGAGTTCCTTACCTTAAGAGTCCATGGTAACTAAAAATTTACATTTTTTGTGCCTTTAATCAATTTTTAAGAAAAATCCACACGCAAATGAGTTCTTTAATGGGCATGAAAGATGTTGAGCCAAAAAACAAAAATTTGATAAAAATTCATAAACCTGCGGAAAAATTCAAGTTTCTTCACTTTGATTATTTTGACGAGAGCCTGATTCCACCACGCTGCCTCACATATTGTCGAGCTACGTTGTTTTTAGTTTTCGTAAGGTTGTACGGCGCTCGCAACTGCATGAGGTCATACGAGCGCCAAGAAGCTTCCTCCTCCCTTCTCCTATCAGAAAAGCTAGTTAACAAAAGGGGAAGACTGTGACCCTGCTCACAGTTAGAACTTCTAGAACCTTCTATCAAAACTGACACAAATTACTGACATTAACCCTTAAGTGTACTCAACAAACTGACACAAATTACTGACATTAACCCTTAAGTGTACTCAACAAACTGACACAAATTACTGACATTAACCCTTAAGTGTACTCAACAAACTGACACAAATTACTGACATTAACCCTTAAGCGTACTCAACAATCTGACGCAAATTACTGACATTAACCCTTAAGAGTACTCAACAACAGTGTTAGTGCTTTCGTAAAACTAAAAATCCAAAGTAAGAAAATGAGTACTGAAAGAAAAAGAAAAAAAGACAAAAAGTGGGAGAAACATGTGACCCTGCATAATTCAAACTACTACAAAGGAATGTACGTAAACCTTTCCCTCTGGGATCATAATTTAAAGTATTATCTTATCTTTTCTCATCTTATCACTGATTAAAACAGCATCAAAAGAAAACTATGTAGGCCTGGCTTTATTCGGTCAGCTGCTTCCATTATTCAAGAGCCCTCCTTCTATGTACATGTGGACAAGCCTACATTCAGGTCATGGTCATCAAGTTGTGGGAATCCTCATTGGTGAAGAAACAAGATCATAAAACTTTATCTTTACATTTTTACTGATTTTAAAGAAGCTCACTTGTCACATGCCGCCACAAAAGCTTTGGGGAGATTCTATTTTTGTCTCTCAGCATCAAACTTTATTCCCAAGGGTAAAAGAACTTTAAGCTTAGCTCCCGGGCAAGGGAAAGTGATCAAAAGCATAAATAAGAGATTCTACACAATAAAAATAAAATTCTGTGCTGCGAGGTTATGAAAAAGAGATAAACTTTTAAACTTTCTAACAAGTATTGAAAAGAGCCGAGCCCCCCCCCCCCCCCCCCCCTCCCCCACCCGTCATCAACTTCAAGAAGATAGAAACAAATCAGGCATTCATCTGACTCAAGCTATGACAAAAATGTGGAACCCCGACAACCCCAATCTCACATAGATGTACGAACACAATATGTGAACATTTATATCCTGTCTCACATAGATGTATGAACAATAAGTGGACATTTATATCCTGTCTCACATAGATGTACGAACACAATAAGTGAACATTTATATCCTATCTCACATAGATGTATGAACAATAAGTGGACATTTATATCCTGTCTCACATAGATGTATGAACAATAAGTGGACATTTATATCCTGTCTCACATAGATGTACGAACACAATAAGTGAACATTTATATCCTATCTCACATAGATGTATGAACAATAAGTGGACATTAACGTATGTTCACGTAGAATAATGGTGACAGCGTGACTTCTACCCTCCTCCACACATCGCCCCTGTGTGCACGCCGTATACGTCTACGACAAAACAGCAGCACGTCAACCTCCGCGGAAGCTCTCCTTACAGAGTGCAGAAAATGCCGAAGCGTGTGACACGTGGAGTGCTTGAAGGAAAGGTGTGAAGTTATACAAGAAAGCACGATCGGCTCCTGTACAAATTTTGACAACTGAAAACTTAACACCCATGAAAAGTGGAAGACGATGACAGTGCTAACAGGAAGCAATAGCGATGGAAATGACGCGAAATAAAAACAGAAAGAGTGCGTCCGATGACGAAATATGAGAGAAGCAAACACAATGACGTCTGAAGAACACATGAATGGTACACACAAAAAACACAGTCCTTGTCCTGCTTTCAGCCCAAAAGGGGTTGCTTATCAAAAAAAAACTTAGCTGAACACATTTTTTTTTTTACCCCCCCAAAAATAAATTATTCAACAAACACAAAAAGGTATCACATTTATCCTGTGATCCCAAGTGGTCATAATTGGTCGCTTTTTAAGGACAAGCGGGCTAACCCAGATTTCGGGGGTATCCAGATATCTTGACCTACACCAAAAGTGGGCATAGCCCTACCTATAGGAGAAGTTTGGTTTCATTGGCGTGTATATTTGTTTGGTTATAGAGAAAACTTTCCTTGTCTTTTGAAGAAACTGAACAAGGAGCAAAAACGTTACCCTTTGATTTTCTCAAAACAGCATTTGTCGGGACAGCCCGCTTGTGCATGAAAGCGAACAATTAGAACGATTAACAAATGTAAACTGCAAAACAATTCAGCAAATTCAAAAACACTTTTCTCGCAAAATGCCCAAGCAAAAATTTTGAGACCGCTAAAGTTTCCGTCACTTGAATTTTGAACAGCAACTCCCATCTGACAGACGCAGGACAAGCAGAAAAATCTGACACACACAAGAAGAAGAAAAAAACCCCAAAAGACGACGATGATGACACAACGGCTCACCACATCGCTCAGCTGCTGGGTCATGGCCGTCATTTCCTGGCGCTGGGTGGCCAGCATTTCCTCCAGCTCTTTGACGCGCTCCGCCTTCTCAACCAGCTCGATGCTCACTTGACTCGTCTGGAAAAGTACAAGAGAAGAAACAATCACACATCACGTAAAGAACGTAAACCGCAAATCATGTTCGACACTTTTTGTTCTAGCTTTAGTAAGTGTTTTACGGCACTTGCAACACAATAAGGTCATACAAGTGTTGAAGGTTAGAGGTGTTACAAGAGAGTAACAAACACAAAAAAGAAGGAGGGGAGATAAAGATGATAGACGTTTGATAGGAAAGAAGAAGCAAACCACACCAGAGCACCCACCAACCACCCACTTCGAGACTTTACGACTTACCAATTTACACACAGTTACGCTAAACAAAAATTAAACGACACGTGCGCAGGAATTAACCATAATAAGTCACAAAGCAACACAGGGCTTATCTGTTGGCAGCCTCCTTTAAACTGTCGATAAAATTCATTTGACAGGCTAAAAATAAAAGGCAACCATGAGCACAAGTCAACATTTCTTACAAGCAGGCGTAAGTAAGACAAACCTATGCCACATTGTACCAGGCAGCTCCTTTTTATCATGTAAAGATTATCTTTGAAAATTAATCACATATGCTTTAAAAAGTTTTAAAGTTTGGTAAGAGTTTTACGACACTCACAACTACCTAAGATCATGAGCACACGGAACACAAGTTGTAAAAGTGCGAAGACACAAAACTAGTTAAATACAGACTGATGAACCAATAAAAGAAGTTTTTTTACCGTCTAGAATAAGGCTACCGTCTGAATAAACATCAACGTGTATTGCTAGTTCAAATATATACAAGTATCTATATATGTACAAATAACTGTAAAGGTCTTCTATTATCTATTTGCGGTGGCCGAATTTTGCTATTCAAAAGGCTTTTTAATGGCTGCATCGATCAACATGCGGTTTTCGCCAAAAAATTCGTTAAAATATTCTCCAGATCATGACGTCCTTGGTTTTTTCACTTTTGAGACAGTTTTGCTGCAAAATGCTAAATTTCTTTATTTCCCCGATCGCTTTTGTAGGCCGACTGGCCGACGCTTCTGTCTCTGTAATTTAAAAAAATCCGGAAGTGATATTTCGCGAGGTGCATTTTGTTTTGAGAGTATAGATCTAGACCTAATTTTTTTGCATCTCTCAATATTTATTTCCCCATTCCAGTAGAGTGTAAATATAGTAGGCCAATGAATTTTAGCTTATATTAAAGCACTTTTCTTTTCATATTGAATTTTAATGAAAGCAATATACAATTTAATTTCTTAGAATACCTGCATGTGTTTTTACAGTCCTGTATAGCCTCCAAAAAAAATTTCCCTATGAGACAAATAAGTATTACCTTATTCTGATCTTTTCTTAATCCTATCTGTTCGTCGTGTTTTAGTATCATATCCATACGACCTGGGCAACTCTGTGCCACCACTTTCAAAGAGGAAATTAACTTGTTAATCTGATCCGTATGCTTTGAATAGCAGTCTGTCAAAATTATTTTTTGATAAATACTGAAAGTTTCAAAGAGATCTTTGTACTAGAAGTATTTTAAAATGTGAAGAATACAACCCAGGGGGTACAAAATGACCCTAGGGCGTACGGACAGGGTTAAATAGTACACACCTTTGCTCCATCTTCCAATCTGGAGGACTCGAACGTCTTGACCTTGGTCTCGGCCTGCGTCAGCTTGTAGGTGAGCTCCTCAATCTGGTCCAGGTAGGAGATCTGAGCCTCCTCCGCCTCGCTCACAGACTTCTGATGGGACTGTAGCTGCTCCTGTTGGTACAGACAAGTAGAGAAAGAGAAATACAACTAGCTTTAGCTCCTGTTGGTATAGACTACAGACAAGTAGAGAAAGAAAGATACAACTAGCTTTAGCTCCTGTTGGCAGAGACTATAGACAAGTAGAGAAAGAAAGATACACCTAGCTTTAGCTCCTGTTGGTATAGACTATAGACAAGTAGAGAAAGAAAGATACACCTAGCTTTAGTTCCTGTTGGTATAGACTATAGACAAGTAGAGAAAGAAAGATACAACTAGCTTTAGCTCCTGTTGGCATAGACTATAGACAAGTAGAGAAAGAAAGATACAACTAGCTTTAGCTCCTGTTGGCAGAGACTATAGACAAGTAGAGAAAGAAAGATACACCTAGCTTTAGCTCCTGTTGGCATAGACTATAGACAAGTAGAGAAAGAAAGAGACAACTAGGTTTTAGTTTTGTTTTAGCAATAAGAGTCTTAACACTTTGCAGTCACATAGCCAAAAATAACCGCCAAAGTTTGGTGACTTCCAAATCTTGAGAGTCCTTGGAAACTGCAAATTTACAGCTGTTGGGTCTTTAATCAACGCTTTTAAGTAAAAGTCACCCAGAAATGTGTTCATAATTGGACAACAATGGTGTTAAGCCAAAAACAAACAAAAAATTGATAAAAAATTGCCAAACCGGCGGAAAATGCCATTTTCTTTTGGTTTCATTATTTTGACGAGCGCCTGATTTCACCATGACACCTCACATACACATCACTAACATCGTCAAAACCTTCCGTACCTTCATTTCCTGTAGCTCTTTCTCCAACTTGTCTGCGCGTTCTTTTTCTTTCTTTGTCTGTCGCTCCAATTCCTTGACCTGAAGCTCATCTGAGGCCCTCGACTGCACAAAAGTGAAACATTCAGAGATAAGAGAAGCACACACATACAATAACCTTCTGGCACAGCATTAAAGAATATTAGTTTTCGTAAGTGTTTTACGGCACTTGCAACACAATAAGGTCATATAACTAAGTGCTGAAGATTAGAGGTGTTACAAGAGAGTAACAAACACAAAAAAAGGAGGAGAGACCAGGACGATAGATGTTTGATAGGAAAGAAGGAGCAAACCACACCAGAGCACCCACCAACCACCCACCATCAAAGAACTTGGCGATACGACAACCCAAAACCCTTAACATTCAAAGATCAAAGCATGCAGAAAATGCTGTCAACCCATGAGCAAAAGATATTTGCAAAAACACTAAAGTTGTAATGGGTTTCCCATGGATAAAGATATGGGCAGTGCTTCACATCAGTTTAGTTAGTTTTAGTAGAGGGTTTTACGGTGCTCGCAACTGCATAAGGTCATATCAGTGCCGAAGATTAGAGGTGTTACAAGAGAGTAACAAACACAAAAAAGAAGGAGGGGGGAGATAAAGACAATAGATGTTTGATATGAAAGAAGAAGCAAACCACACCAGAGCACCCGCCAACCACCCACGTCTAAACTTTATCACAGCAGATCGACCTTGAACATATTATATATATATATATATATATATATATATATATATATATTATACAAGTGCGGTCCAGAGGAAAACCAAAAACAGTAACATTCTTCAAACACTTTTGCCCAAAACTATTTCCCTCTCACAGCGGAAGAGAAAGAGACAGGAACTTGACACAGACATGTATGGCTCTTTTCCTCTACGCAGACGGTTAATTTAGCTTAAGATGGTCTCAAGGTTGTCTTCATGCAGCTTCTTTCACGGCTAATTCTTCCTATGTTTGAAGCGCAGATTCTGTCGCAGAGCTTGCACGTCAGTGACGTAGATCGAAGCTCTGTATTTCCGCTGTTTTCCTTTCGTCGTTGGCGCTTCTCAGCCTGGTTGTTTCTAGGGCTGCTCTGTAACATAAGAGTCCTTTCATTTATCATTTTCCTCCATGTTTTCCAGTCCTCAGCTATTTCTTCCCAGATGCTAACATCTACTCCAAGCCTAGTGTTGTTACTTGAACATATAAGAATATTAACCACTAACCTTTTGGTTGCCTGTGGAGATGCGTTTACAACAACAGTTATCCAAACCTGTCTCTCTAGATCGTGTAATCCTTTCCTCAGCGGTGGGGCCCCGATGCGTTGGAGTCTCCCAACACAAGCACAGAAATAGACCGAGGCTCTGAACAGACATTCCCCCTTTCCTCACGCCAAAATCTCTGCAGGCCTCCTCTGCCTCGATACAGCTCTTCCCTCTACCCTGCTGTAATCCAGACTGCACTTGTCTCCCACTTACTCACTCTCTCTGCTTTATACACTTGCATCAAACAATACAACTGAACTGAGACTGCACTCGTCTCCCACTTACTTACTCACTCTCTCTGCTTTATACACTTGCATCAAACGATACAACTGAACTGAGACTGCACTCGTCTCCCACTTACTTACTCACTCTCTCTGCTTTATACACTTGCATCAAACAATACAATAGGCTAGGCCTAACCCGCTGCCACTGACCAACACGCCAGATTGCCTAACAAACAGCCAAATAGACCACATTTAGATAAGCTGTTTTTCCAGGTGTCTTTGTACCTCAATTTTGGTCTTCCTCTTGGTCTCTTTCCCTGGGCAAGTTCTCGATAGAGAAGTTGCTTCGGAATTTCTTTATTTGTTTTGTCTAAGACACATCGTTATGACTGTAGTTTTATTTGAGCAGCTTCGGAATCCTGTTGTCGTCCATTCTCTTGACATGGCCCAGCCATCTCCATCTTATAAAACACAGACACAGACACAGAGACAGACACACAAACAACAACTGTGCCCCCCCCCCCCCCCCCCCCCGTGACAACTCACCTCTCCGTCGTCTTTGAGAGCTTCTTCCTCCAGCTGGAACTGCAAGTCTTCCACTTTCCTGAAAAATGTTTTTAAAAAGAGGATTTTTTTTAAAAAGAGGAACAAAATATTTACAACAGTGGCAATAATATTTTACAATCATGGAAGGACAAGACGGTAAGAAAATACTCAGCTGCTGTTTTCGAAAACCCAAATTTGTTCATGTTTGGTTACCACTTTACAGTCCCACAGCCAGCAGTACAAAATAGTCTATCTGACCACCCAGTCAGGAGAGCAACGGACTTCTCAGGCCTGGCGCATAAGTGCGGCAAGTGACCGGAACGGACAATTTGCACCGGCGCATTATTGCGCCAAATGACAGCAAGGTATTAAAAACAGTGGATGGTTGGCGGGTGCTCTGGTGTGGTCTGCTCCTTCTTTCCTATCAAATGTCTATCATCCTTAAACTCTCTTCTTTCTTTTTTGCGTTGTTACTCTCTTGTAACACTTCTACTAATCTTCTGTCATTTAAACGAGAAATTAGAGAAGAGGAAGGCTCTTTACATCAGTTCACGTTTTTTCTTTTACTTGGAGTGAAAAGAAGAAGCCCACTGGCACATTAACAGCCATTTCTTAGCTGTTTGTTTTTTCAGTTTTAATAACGTTTTACGGCGCTCGCAACTACATAAGGTCATTTGAGCGCCAAGGGGTGGATGTCAACAGAGAAGTTCTTACAGGGAATCGGGCTTACTCTGCTCACCTCTCTAGCTTCAACAGCACAAAGTCTGCTTCGACTATCAAGGCACCCCGGAAATAGCGGGTCACAAGAGAGTGACAAACATACAAAAGAAGTAGAGGAAAAATAAAAATAGGATTAGGATGAGGGGGGAAAAAAAGCAGCAGTTCCCTATACAAGAATAGATAAATACATGAATAAATAAATAAATACATGAATAAATAAACGAATAGATGAATAAATAAATGAATAGTTGAATAAAGAAATAAATGAATAAATAATTAAAAAACCAATACCAATTGTAAAGAAATGGAGGACTTGCCTTTTCTCTTCCTCCAGGAACGCCATGAGCTCCTGCTTCTCTCCCTCCACGTCCGACAGTTTGGTCCGTAGCCCCGAGATCTGCTCGTCCGCGTCCTGCATCAGCCGCTCTTTCTCCGACTTGATGCTGCTCAGCTGACCCTCCGCCTGACGACACAGAGCAATGTGTTTTAGTGAGGGTTATACGGCACTTGCAACACAATCAGGTCATATAAGTGCCGAAGATCACAGGTGTTACAAGGGAGTAACAAACACAAAAAAGAAGGAGGGGAGATAAAGACTATAGATGTTCGATAGGAAAGAAGAATCAAACCACACCAGAGCAACCGCACACCACCCACTAGGCTTATTTAAGATTTTCGAGTTAGGATAAGAAAATAAAGAATAGCAATAGAAAACAGAAAATGAGCTGGAGATAACTAGACATTTTCTGAAAGCTTATGAGTTGAAGAATATTGTTAGACTACTGCGTGTGAAAAAAATAAATGTTTCAGTGAGCGTGACAGTGACCGTCTATCATTTGACAATGAATGTCAGATTGTATTTTGTTTACAAACACGTTCCTACATCCCTCAGTTGATTTTTTATAAGAATATAACACCCCTTTCAGCATATTCTACAGGTTTTATAAGCTTTCCAAAAACGTATAGTTATAAGGGTTTTTTTTTAAAATGTAAAATATAATTTTTATACTCTTTTATTCACAGCATGTCGTGTTATTTTCAAAAAATAAATTCCCAAAAAATGAACAAGAAGTGGCATGGACGATCAAAAATAAATTTAGAATATCAGATTATCTCACAGAAACAAAACTGTGACTTGTATAAGCTCTTTTAACACTTCCGTTTTTCACCTAAATCTAAACCACTCACAAAAACTTGGGCTTTTATGCTTATTTTAGATTAGAGGTGTCACAAGAGAGTAACAAACACAAGAAAACACAACCAGGTGAGATAACGACGATAGATGTTTGATAGGAAAGAAGAAGCAGACCACACTAGAGCACCCGCCAACCACCCATGGATCTTTATGTCTAAACCACTGACAAAAACTTGGGCCTTTACGCAAAGCAGGGAACAACACGACAAAGCGTGCGGAGCAGCAAAACACAATAAAGTAAACCTCCCCTCCTCTGCAACAGGGCATGCAAGAGACCCATGCACACACACACACACACACACACACACAGACACGCGCGCGCGAACACACACACGACAAATGCACGCACAACACTACTAACCTCGTCTACGTGAGCGGCCGCCCTGGCGACCTCTGACCTCTCCAGGTCGCGCTCACGCAGCAGCTGTTCGATGTGCTCCTCTTTCTCCTTCAGCGCTTTCTACAACAGCAAAATACCGACACAAGCCATATTGATTGAGAGGAGGACAGAATAATATACATACGTACGCGTCACTTTAAATTCTCGAAAACAAAAAAAACAACCCGACAGAAATAACGACAAAAACCGCCAAAAATGATCAAAGCAAGCGGGTGGCCATTCCCTACACACTGACCACTGACACAAAAACGTACGATACAACAGCATGTCGATTTGACGGATTACCTAAGCTGTAGTAAGGAGTTTTACGGCACTTGCAACACAATGAGGTCATATAAGTACCGAAGATTAGAGGTGTTACAAGAGAGTAACAAACATTAAAAAAAGAAGGAGGAGAGATAAGGACGATAGATGTTTGATAGGAAAGAAGGAGCAAACCACACCAGAGCACCCGCCAACCAACACTGATTACCTAAATGGTAAAATACAGAGACAGATGGGGGAGGGGGGGGGGTCATAGAGATGAGAAATAATAATATGAGTAAACAAAACAAATCAGCTGTAAGCGAAGGTAGGCGTGATGTCCAAGGACAGGGAATAAATATACGAAGGTTTAAGCATGTTGTGTGGAATGTGTTTAGTCAGGTTAACAGTTATGAAATGTAAAGAGTAAAGAGAAATATTTCTATACAATAACAGTCATTTATTATCACGAGGAAAGAGAATGACAGAGAGATAGACAGTATATGACCTCAGTGCTTTCTTGTTCTATCTCCATTTTTAATAACAGTGAAAACAGCTCATAACAAAGAGTGAGCTTAAGAAGAAGTCACATTACACTGTTTAAAAAATTTTTTTAAAATGGAGATACGACATGAAAGCACTGAGTTCGCGAGTAGAGGGAGAGTAAACAAGTAGAACCCACTAGCATCACCCTTCGACCACCCATTCGGCCCTCCCACGCGCAACAGCGAAGCATCTAACATTAGTATCTGGAGAGCATCTATGTACAAGTCTTTGTTTTAAGTGATTTCCTCCCTTCTCCCTTCCAGACCTGACATAGACAACACACTCTACGGAACACTACAGCAACTGCAGCAAACCTGCACTTATCACTACATGGCATTGGACAGAAGGGCCAGAGCCCAGCTGTTGCTGGATCGATAACAACAACAACAACAACAGCAACAACAACAACAACAAAAAGCGATTTCAAAAGGAGAAACCCTTATCAGCCTTGAGCAGTGTAATATATAATGACATTTAGAGAGCATTTGACCTCCTATGGCTTTCGAGACATTTCAAACAACCGTATTGAAAACATTTTCAGTAAGCGAGGCAAGAGCCGACATCAGCAATAATGAATAATGCTGTTTCTTTATACAGGGTAAAAGTTAAGGCGCACAGCGTAGGCAATTTAATGTGTTAATAAATAAACAAGAACAGTAAGAAGAAGTAATTAAGTTAACGTAAACTGTAACTAAACACTATGCAAAGCCAGCATAGACTACAAATGTTACAAATGAAATAACCCAGACAGGCTGAAAACCGACTGACATTTCAGGGAGAAAAATTCATCTTGTCTGGGAGCCTCTCACTTTTGTGGTATTTACAAAATCTCATTGATTGAAACAAACAAAAAGGTGTGTAAATATAAAATACTGACCCCAGACAAATACAAAGCAAGGATAGACACATTCTGGTACCACAAAAAAAACCTTTAAAAAAATATTCCGAATTTTCTGTTCACTTAGAAACCCAGATATCTTTACGGAAGAATCAGGTTTACTCAGCTCACCTCTCTAGCTTCAACAGCACAAAGTCTGCTTCGACTATCAAGGCACCCCGGAAATAGCGGCTCACAAGAGTGTGACAAACATACCATAGAAGTAGAGGTAAAAATGATGATAGTAAAGATTAGGAAAGAAAAAGCAGCAGTTCCCTGTTGCAGTTCAGGCACAGTTATGAGCATGACATTGATGAATCAGCCCATTTACAATTACAATTCTACTGTGCATAAGAACATGTTAATATCCCCCCTTTGGGAATGGCCTAAAGACACTTCAGTAGCAACCCTTTGAAAAAAGCTGAGGGGGGGGGGGGTGTAAGGATATGGTTGAGGTAAGTAGGGTCATGGAACCCACAGGGAGCACGAGGCAGGGGTAGGCCACTGGAAACATGGAGGAGATGTGTGGAAAAGGACATGAGAGAGATGAAGCTCACTTGGAACAAGCTAGGAAGGATGGCCCACGACATAGATAAATGGAAATGGAAGGAGCTTGTATGTGGCCTTTACCCTGCCAGGGGTGAAAGCCATTGATTGATTGAGCTGGGTCTTGATGACACATCATAAAATTCGATGGCAACAAGGCAAGAGGGCGACCGAGAAAGACAGACCTGGATAGATGGAGTCAGGGAAACATTAACAACTCACAACATCCCCCTGACCCAAGCTCTCCGGCTGGCGACAGAGAGACGTCTCTTTCTTCCCGCGACACCCAAAAGGGTAGAAGCGGAGGACAAAAGTAAAAGTAAAAGGTACAGTGAGAGTTGGGTCATGGTGGACGGTGGTCAACTCACCTGTAACGCGGCCGTGGTGGCGGAGAGGTTTAGAGTGCTGGGCCTTTGTCCTGTTTTCGAGGCCTGTGTGGTGGTGTTAATCAAACATTAGAGCGCTACACTGGACAAGTGTGTCAGCAAAGACCATCCTATACATATATACGTCTTGCTGCCCGTCAAAATACAGATCAGCCATAAAAATGTTTCATTTTGCTTAGAACTGACAAAAGAGAAGCAAATGGCATCTCCTTTTTTACTTAAAACTGCAGCTTTATCAGTGACAAAAAAATGTTTAGCACAGCTGAGGAGTCGCACTCTCCACTTACATCAACTTTTTATACATGATGGCACCAACAATTTCACAAATAGAAAGCAGAAACAGTGAATATAGTCCATCCAAAGTGAAAAAAAAACCCCGGCCATCCAAATATAGAAAAGCAAATCAAAACTCCACCCACACAGTTACTGTTATTTCCCTATTTCTTTTGTAACGGATACTCCTTTTTATTTTGACGGACTGCAAGACATATATACATAAAACTAAGAGGGGTCACTATCGCCGGTCTCAAGAGCCTAGCTGTCAGAACTAGGGGTCGACACATGTCAGAAAACGGATAAAAATCTCACGACGTTTACCAAAGTTCAGGGTTCATACTGAGCAGGAGATTTTTTTCCCCAAGATTTTTCCAAGAGTTTTCGAAGACAAGTTTTCTTTTTTCCAAGACAAATAACATGTCAATTTGGAAGAAAATTTTAATGCAAAAATATATTATGGTACACTTCAGACTGCGTAAAGTCGAGGCCTTCTAAACTTTGAGGAAATATTTTTATAATAGATCTAGTTAAAAATTTGTTTTTCCTAGACTTTTCCCAGAATTTTGCCAACTTCCCAAAATTCCAAGAGTTTTCCATGTCTCGGAAATTAAAAAGAACATTCCAAGAGTTTTCCAGTTTTCCAAGACCCGTGCAAACCCTGAAAGTTCCCGCGCACGGGAGAGAGAAATGTTTCGATAGAACCGAGACCGGCGTCCCTTCTCCAACATGTGTCGACACACGAGGCGAAGCGGCAAAAATAGAGGTGGACCCATCTTAGCGGATGGTCTTTTGTGCAATTCAATGGTCTTGGCATACGGCATAAAAAGGCATGTGCTGGATAATGTCTTACAACTCAAATGTGTAAATCTCAGGACTTTTAATTCATAGTTTTAGTTTTAGTAGAGTTTTTACAGCGCTCGAAACTGCATAAGTCAGAACTCTTTTTTCTTATTCTGGAAAAAAAACAACAACAAACAAAACCAAACCCCCCCAAAAAAATCCAGCACCAGATGTTCCCAAACTGACACAGCTCAATAAACCGTGGAACCTAAAAGAACCTGTACAAGACTCATCAAACAGAATAATAAGGTTATCCCTACATCATTGCTTTTGTGGAAGTCGAGGAAATTATTTCTCCAAAACTATAATTAAACAAAAATTAATATGTTAATAATAATGCTATATATACGAAAAATTTACATATATATATATAAATGTCTGAATTCTCAAACCTATACCAAAACCAATGAATGTGTAACTGCTTCATAAAAGAACTATAATTGTGGTAATACTGTATAATAGTGTTATCAGCATTATTATATTATATATATAACAGATTATATGGTAACTTTTAAAATAATATACATATTATGTGGTCTAAACATGTTACGTTGACAGTGCAGAGACAAACGGTACCAGACAAAAACCGATTCGATCGTGGAGGTTTGGTTTGGAGATTTATCCCGTTACTTTTTGCTTTGCATTAGTAAAACTGACGGGGGAGGGGGGGGGGGGGGGGGGTTTGTTGGCCGAGAGGATGGGTTTTTTTATTGTTTCACAGGAGACTGTCTATTCAAGGACATGGGTGGGCATATTTTTGGGATATGGGGCTACTTTACCACAGGTGACCGGAACAGATCATTTTCACCAGCGCAATATTGCATTAAGTGACCACAAAGTGTTCACTGCACCATTATCAGTTTTTTTTAAAAAAAGCTTTTGCTACGGGAACTAGTGCGCTGGGTAAATTTTTTTTAATCCGGAAAGGAGTTAAAAGTAATCCTTTGTTCCAATTTCATCAGACTAATTCTTCAGTGGAACTTACTCTCCACATATAAAAGTATAGACTAAATCATAAGACAGAGAAATACCCCTACCCCTCCTTACACCTCTCCCCACCATCATTTGTCTCTGCACCGTCAGACTAAAAGAATACATGAGATAATAAAAAGAGTACAAAAGATAATATAAAAGTGAACAACAACAAGGTTACTCTCCCACTCAGCAAAGTATACGTCAAATACACATAATAATACACATGGAGGTTAGTCGTTCTTTCACACACAACAGAAAATTAGTAGGAGGAAAGGTTTTAGAAAAAAACAACAAACAGAAACAAAAATGCTAAAACATTCTACATGGGGTTAGATTAGGCCCAACTTACAAAAGAAGCAGATAACGCTATACGCTAGCTATATACCGACCATTTAGTACTAAGAAAAGGGATAGCAAACAGACGAATACACTGACTCCAGGGGGTAAAAACGTGAGAGCCGTCTGAGAGGAGGGGCTCCTTCGGACCAAGCACAAATGTCTTCAAAAGTTGTGGCTAAAGTACAGAAACAGCAGCTAGTTTTACAGAAAACAGACAGAGCACACACAAAAGTCTTCAAAAGCACGAGTCGCAACTCGCCCGCCAGCATTTTCAAAAAGGAGAAAAACGACTGGTCAAGAAGAATTACATTGTCATAGCTGCCCAACCAAAACTGTTAGAAAGCAACACTTGGAGCCGAGGCCGTTGTGACGGACGTAAAGAAGTCGAAAGAAAAAGCCAAGCATTGGCACTACTGGCTGGGGAAATCAACTAACATGCCGGCAGTGAGTGACTAGAGCATACGACGTGCCTGCAGTGAGCAACTAGAATACCCCTCTACGTGGCAGTTCTACTTGAAATACGTAGCAGAAGTTCAGGGTGCACAAGCATGGCGAAGGTAACGCTGGTTAAAACATTACTGTACTCATTAGACCCACCAACATTTCTGATTCTCTTCAACACAATTCAAACTGATCGCAAGAAAAATAGAGATTATATTTACAAAACAACAAACAAAACAACCAAAAAAAACCACACCCCGCAATGAAAGGAAAAACGAAGTAATAGCAAAATGGGTTGATTTTAGATTTTGAAGGACTTCAGTATACGGCAGTGCAAAACGATGAAATTAGACTTTTGTAACATTTACCACACAAATATGATAAACATTCCAGTAGTACAGTGCTATTACAATAGATAGATCATGCACTCCACTATGAACAAAGAGGCCAACACACACACACACAAATAATACACACACACACACAAATAATACACACACACACACACAAATAATACACACACACACACACACAAATAATACACACACACACACACAAATACAAATAATACACACACACACACACACACAAAATAATACATACACACACACACACACATACACCCACACACAGAGATGTAGATTTACCTACCTGTGAAAATGCAAACTAAGAAAAGTAAATGAGAGAGGTTACGAGAGACACAAGAGACGGCACTTCACACACAGAGCCCCGGACGGCAAACCACACAGTACATGCAGCACCATCAATGACTCGCTACTCCATGACAAGGTCAAGGTAAGCACTTCACAGGAAAAATGAAATGAGTCGATGCGATGGGAGTTAGCCCTATCCGTACGTCGTGTTTTACTATCGTATCCATACGACGTGGGGAACTCTGTGCCACCACTTTCCAAAGATGAAATTTACTCATTAATCCGATCCGTACGCTTTGCATAGCAGTCTGTCAAAATGATTATTTGAGAAATACTGAAAGTTTCAAAGAGATCTTCGCACTAGAAGTATTCTAAAATGTGAAGAATGCAACCACGGGGGTACAAAATGACCCCAGGGCGTACGGATAGGGTTAAAACAAATTTAAAATGAAAAGACAACAATGATTAATGAGAGGACAACAATGATTAATGAGAGGACAACAATGATTAACGAGAGGACAACAATGATTAATGAGAGGACAACAATGAAAAGGAAAGCCTCAGAGTGTTCGATTCCAGCCCCTACAACTTTACTTTACGTCAGTGCAGATATCATGCACTCTTTGTTTCCCAGAATTCCCATTACCATGCGGCAAATAGACGCAGTCATAGGTCATATTTCAGACATCATGCACCAGGATGAGGAGATCTTTTTTCTGAGGTGAACATTTCGCATACATTTAACAACACTTTCTACAGAGCCCTACCATCCTAAATTGAACTTAATAGCCTACGTGTCTTTTATCTATTACCTCAAAAACTATAATAAAATAGTTTTTAAATCACATGCAAAAGATGTGATTGTTCAAAAATGAAATGTTTCCATTCCAGTCAGGAAACTAGAATTCATACAGATATGCCTGGAGTTCCTTCAGCATTGGAATGAGAAGCATGATGTGAAAATGAATGAAGCCATCTGAGACAATAGTGAAGAGACGTTCGATTTTCCACGAAATATGAGCGAAGCAATTGAATTTCAAATGAAAGTCAATAGTGAAAAAGACATTCTATTTCGATAAATATGAGTGAAGCAATTTAATTTTAAATGAAAGACAATAGTGAAAAGACATTGTATTTTCCATGAACATGAGCAAAGCAATAAGATTTTAAATGAAAGTCAATAGTGAAAAAGACATTTTATTTCCATAAATATGAGTGACGCAATTGAATTTTAAATGAAAGACAATAGAGAAGAGACATTTTATGTTCCATGAAATATGAACAAAGAAATAAGATTTTAAATGAAAGTCAATGATAAATATGAGTGAAGCAATTGAATTTTAAATGAAAGACAATAGAGAAGAGACATTCTATGTTCCATGAAATATGAACAAAGCGATTAGATTTTCATGGAAAGACCACAGTGAAAAGACGTTCTATTTTCCATGAAATATGAGCGAAGCAATTACGTTTTCAATGAAATTACTTTCAAATGCAGATGAAGACAACACTCAAAAAAAAAGGTTTAGAAACTCGTCTCTTTCAACACCGACAAAGTCAGAGCAACAAACAGTGAAGAGGAATACAAAAGGACCGGGTCACTTGACAACAACTGTAGAAAAAAACTATGCATTTGCCAACGACAAGATTCACAAGAATAAAAGATCATGACAGAAATTTTTAAAAAGACCCCCCCTTCCAAATTGTAGTCTGCATTCAAATCATCATCTACAGGGAGGACAGACGACGCACCAAAAGACCAGGATGTATCAAATCTAAACCTTTCACCATTTCTCCAATGATTCCCACAACTTGCACCAGTCACTAGGCCACACAGCAAACCAAATTCACCACATTCAACATTTAGATCATTTGAATCAATATGGCCTCTAAGAAACTATGTTCCTCCCATTAAATCATAGACGGGACACGGCTGTAGAGAAAATTGCCCCTGGAGTAAACTTTCGACACTTGAAGCCCTTTTTTGCTCATGTTTCGGAGGCAAACGAAAAAAAAATGACAACTAGGAAGAGGCTACTTCCAATCTCTTTAATAACATATCATCTCCTTCATTCAACCTAAATTTTCTAACAGAACCTCTACAGCTGAGCAGTCCGGCAGCCCATCAAAAGAGAAGAGTTTACAGAACTGCGAGTCCACAAACAGCAGGTACCAAACTTAGGGGATAAAAAATCTAACATTACACTCCAGTACAGATGACACTCTCTGGCCCTGCTGAATTATTTGGATAAATTCTATGAACCCACCCCTCTCTTGAGAGTCAACCGTATTTCTTTCAAACAATTTCTGGAATAAAAAACTACCGCCCCCCCCCCCCCGAAAACACCATTTTCCCCCCCCCCCCCCCGAAACAAGGGGGGGGGGGGGGGGGGGGGGGGGAGGAAAAACTAGATAATCTTGAAGAAGAAAAAGATGCTGAATCAAAAAAAAAAACAAAAAAAACAAGAAGCAAAATTGGAAGCTATAAGCAGAATTTCAAAAGGGAAAAGAGAAATAAAAAAGCAACCCACACAAAGTAAATGGTGTAAAATTTACTCTCATCACCGAAAGTCTCAACCAAAACCACCATCTGACATCAAGAACAAGAAAAGAGAACCAGCTTACTACAACAGATCTTGGCACAAAACTATTCACATTACCTTAGGTTAATAAATTTGCTAAAGAATCCTACAAAGCTTTTTTTTAACGTTTCAAAAAAAAATTTATTAGAGCACAGCACCCATCAAGCAGAGAAGGAATTTTAACCTCAACCTGCAGCGTTTCCCAGACCATAAAAAGCAGGTACCCAAGATGAAAACCGTTAACCTTTTGCCCTCATTTCAACCCATAACTAAAGGAGAAAAGACAAAGTGCACCGGGGCACAGGGATGCAAGAGCAAGTAGCAGCGATAACCAAAAGAAACCAATCAAAAGCTTCACATCTCCCACAAAGCCGTCAAAGAATGCGACCCTCACACTAAACGTTCTACCAGAAACCTCAGTTCTCTTCGACAATCCCACTACAAAAAGCAAGTTGCAAGAACAGAACAGACCATAGTGAAGTGTGAACAATGATGAAAGCTACCATATTTCTCCAAATGCTAAACAATTCAGTTGTTTGTTTAGTAAGTTTTACAGCGCTCGCAATTGCATAAGGTCATAATATGAGCGCATCAATTCGGCCTGCAAATTCAAATCTCATTAGAAATCCAATCCAAGAGTTACCATATTTCAGCTGTTCTACTAGGAAATGGCAAAAACAAAACAAACTACTCAAAATACTACACAGAAGCAAGCAGCATTCAAGTCATTGCACAAAACTTCCAAATGTGAAGGTGGACAGCTATGAAAATACCCAGGACGAATCACTAACAAAGAACATTATTACGCCCCACAACTTAATGTTACCTATACAGAGAGAAAAGATCTGTTCGTAAACTAACTCTCAACTTAAAATGTTACCTATACAGAAAGAAAAGATCTGTTTGTAAACTAACTCTCAACTTAATGTTACCTATACAGAAAGAAAAGATCTGTCCGAAAACTAACTCCTTATCATTCCTTCTTCTGCCCCCCCCCCCCTTTTGTTAAAAAAAAAAAAAAGAAACAGAATTTGGAGCAGTTGGCTCACAGAAAGTTACATCTACACGATGATACACTCACATCTACAAGGGTAAAGCCAAAAATGAAATACAAAGAGAAACGGCTGATAAATCGACATTCATCGTTATGGTAGACAAACTGCCAGATGTATATATAATTATCTACTTGTCAAAACAAGAGCGACCATAGTTGCACGTCCGTAACTAGCAGCAGAAGGCCAGAATGTTTCTATCTTCCTACACAGACTTCAGAACATAATATGTTACGCCTAATTATCGTTATTGTTGATTTTCTTCTTATAGACAAAAATACCCTCTGATTGCAGTATACGTAAAAGCAACAAAAAACCCACAAAAAACCCACAAAAAACCATGACTGAATTCTACGACTAACTTCAAAAACCACGTCCTACACCAGACTGAAAACATTATTTACATTTTTGTGACACTAAATGAGATCTCGGTATCCTGAGCATTATGCAATGATTTTTACACACCAAACATTTTCCTCAAAAAAAGTAAATTAAAATGAGAAAACAAAACAACAAAACAACGAGTGAGGGCTGTGAAAGGAATCGCGTTGGATGAGACGAAATAGAAAAAAACAAAAAACAAAAAAAGAAACCCAACCCACTGACAACAATGAGTGAGGCAAAAATGACAGTAAGCACAACATTCAGGGTCACAAACGAGGAAGGAAGGAAGGAAGGAAGGAAGGAAGGAAGAAAGGGTGAGGGGGGGAGGGAGGAAGGTCATCAAAAATGCTGCATGTACCTGGTTGGCCAGTGAGGTGACTCCCAACCTTACCCGCGATCGCGACACGCTGGAGGCCGTGGAGGAGATGGAGGAGACGCTCTCCTGGCTGCCGCTGCGCTCCCGTGAGCTACGCAGACTCGTGGTCATGAGCGGCCGGGAGTGGGGGGAGGGGGTGGAGGTGGCCGAACCGCCGGCGCGGGCGATTTTGTGCACGGGGGCAAACAGGCCATGCATCGGCTTGCAGTCAAAGTATCTGCAGGGGGGAGGGAGGGAGGGAGGGGAGGACAGCAAAAAGGAGGAAACTTCAGTTTTTTTGTTTTGTTTTTGGAAGTGTTGTTACGGTGCTCGCAACTGCATACAACTTCAGATTTTTCCCCTGCATGGCCAGAAGAATATATATATAGAAATACTTATATGTCAGCAGGCATCGTGGTGAAATCAGGCGCTTGTCGAAATAAGGACATCAAAGAAAACGACATTTCCCCCCCCGCTGGTTTGGCAATTTTTATTGAACTTTTGTTTTTTGGCTCAACATCTTTTACGTCTGTTTAAAAACACATTTCTCTGTGGATTTTACTGGAAAATTTTGACTAAAACTAAAGGAATAAAAAATGTACATTTTCATTTTCCACAGACTCTCAAGCTGTGCAAGTTACCAAATTTTGGCAGCCATTTTCTCACTAATTTTACTTGGCAAACCAGGCGACCCCCATCTCCTTCAATGGCAGGTATCTCAACTTCTATCTACGATGGATGGGTACTTTTTTCATCAAAAGCCAGACAGAGAAACAAGCTTTACGGTGATACCAATATCCCCATAAGCCCAAACATTGAGGAGCACCTGATTCCACAGCATCGTGACACATATTTCAACATGCAAAGGTACATGGTCAAATAGTCGCTTTGAAGCACAAGGGGGCTGTCCCGTAAAATACTGTTTTGAGAAAATCGAAGGTAAAGTTTTTGCCCCTTGTTCAGTTTCTTTAAAAGAAAAGGAGAGTTTTCTCTATAACCAAACAAACATACCCACCAATGAAACCAAACTTCTCCTATAGGTAGGGCACTGCCCACTTTTCGTGTAAGTCAAGATTTCTGGAAATCCCCGAAATCTGGGTAAGCCCGCTTGTCCTTAAAAGTGACCTAATAAACATGCACAGGTGTTCTCAATCTTTAAAGTGACTTTTGGTTTTGAAGGTAACGAGTGGTTCTGCAGAGACATACATACAGACAGGTGTGGTTATTTCACAAAGAACGGACAGGAGCAAGATCGCAACAACACGTGACAAAGACAACTCAGGCCTGCAGAAAAAAGTGTTCACTTTTACCAGACATTCAGTTATATTAATAATTTAATTTTAACAAATACATCAAGTACTACACCCTCCCCAAGATATAAAACTATATTTTAAAAAACAAAACAACAACCCATAAACCTCCATATTCAGAAGTAGATAAGGAAGAACGGGACAATCCTGACCACACAGAAATGACACAAATATGCGTCAAACATACCTGTTATCAGTATCCCTCAGTAAAATCTTTCCAATCAAAAACCAAGAACTAAATAAGCATAGGTCTGTCAATTTTAGTTTTAGTTTTAGAACGACTTTTACGGCACTTGCAACACAATAAGGTCATATAAGTGCCAAAGATTAGAGGCGTTACAAAAGAGTAACAAACACAAAAAAGAAGGAGGGGAGATAAGAGACGATAGATTTTTTATAGGAAAGAAGCAAACCACACCAGAGCACCTGCCAACCACCCACTCTGTCAATTTTAAAGCCGTTACTTACAAAGGTGCAGAACCTCTCTGACAGAAGGTTCACACAACTTCACAAACACTTCTTACTTAAACGAGAATCTTAAATTTGTAAAGATCTCTGAGTTGAAAAGTGCACAGAGCATGCTGTCAGGTGCTGATGTGTGCCATATAAATACTATTCTCATCATTTTTACTACTTTGCAGTCACACAGCCAGGAGTACAAAATACCCCATCTGGTCACCCAGCCAGCAGTACAAAATACTCCATCTGGTCACCCAGCCAGGAGAGCGACTGCAACGGACATCTCAGTCCTGATGCAGTTCGTGACCAGAACGGATAATTTTCACCGTCGCATTACTGCCCCAAGTGACGGCAAAGTGGTAAAAAGCCGAGCGTGAGAACCGAAGGGATTACCTTTTCCCTGCGACCGCTCCGTCGTTCTTCCCCAGCGGCTCATCCAGCTCCACGCCGGCCCACACCCCCTTGGCAAAGTCTGTCTCTCCGATGTAGCGCAGAACGCCGGGCTTAGAGCCGCTGACTAGAACCTGCAGGGAGAGAGACAATAATAAACACAATGTAGTAGAGAACGCCACTCGTGGAGTGGCTGGCTACAACTTATGAGGAGAGATATTCTTTTTTCTTAAGAGCTTTACGACACTTGCACCACAATAAGTTCATACAAGTGCTGAAGATTAGAGGTGTTACAGGAGAGTAACACACACAAAAAAGAAAGAGGGGAGATAAGGATGATAGATGCTAGATAGGAAAGAAGGAGCAAACCACACCAGAGCAACCGCCAACCACCTACAGGGGAGAGATAATCGTAAAAACAAGAAAAATTTAGCGCAGAACAACAGGCTTGGAGGAGCTGCTGAGAAAAACCTGAGGGGGGGAGACAATGGTAGAAACAATGTGAACTTAAACTCAAACTCTTTCAGTGCCTTGAGGAGGACACCGTTCTATTTATTCAATTCCACATCACTGACTAGAACCTGAGGAGAGAGACAATCATAACAACAATGTAGCAGAGAACACCACTCTTGGAGTGGCCCACTAGACCTTATGAGGAAAGATAATAATAATACTAATAATAGATAGCATTTGTATAGCGCATGTCCCCACTCGAAAGCAAGCTCTATGCGCTTTACACTATATTATTACCCCAGCAGACCATAATAATAATAATAATAATAATAATAATAGATAGCATTTGTATAGCGCATATCCCCGCTCAACAGCAGGCTCTATGCGCTTTACACTATATTATTACCACAGCAGACCATAGAACACTCCGAAACATTCTCAGCATCCCCGGAAGCATACATTGCAAGCAGCTGGATAAGCGCTCAAACACTAACAAACTGACAAGATCTTTCACTGTCTATAGATAATCCTTAAAAACAAGAACAAGTTAGCGCTGGGTCGAACCTGAGGAGGACTCATACCAAAGAGTGAGCTTAAGAAAACGTCACATTTTCATTGTTTTACAAAAAAAATATAGAAATATGACAAGAAAGCACTGAGGTCGCGATCATATGGCGATCATGTACAGTCTTCGACCAATATCAAAAAAACAAAAAAAGGAAGAAAAAAGAAAAGGCGTCCAAAGACTCACCCTGTCTCCCATCTTGGCGCCGCCCGGCATGGTCCCGGGGAGGCGCATGGCCGTGGTAGATGGCGCCACGCCCGTCGAGCCTTTGTTCAGGCTAGTCGACGACGTAGACAGGTTTTTGCTGGCACTCATGCCCAGACGCGACTGGAAGGAAAAAAAAAACGACAGATAAACTTAACCCCAATCCTATCTGTATCGTTTTGAGTTATACCCCGGGGCGACTTCGCGACACTACAGTTTAAAAAGTAAAAATGAAGGGGGAAAAGTTGTAAGTCTTTAATCAAAAAGATATGAAGCTCGAAACTTTAACACTAAAATCTCTCAAAAACCACCACAGTGTAACTCTGACATCCCCCCCCCCCTGCCCACACTCCGAATAACCTCATGATTTTGACACAGCAGCATAGAATATTCGGTGAAAATGGTGAAATGGTATGAGTTTAACGCCCCTATCAACACTATTAGGTTATTTAAGGGGCGGGACCTCCTAGTTTAACGTCCATCTCCGATAGGACCGAGCCAAGTTGGAAATTTGTGTAAAGTGCCTTTCCCAAGGACACAACATCGGACCGAGCTGAGGCTCGAACCTCCGAACCCGCAATCTTACTAGAATATTTGGTTTCTCGTCTCTGGGTCTTAGTAATTGAAAATAGTCAAATAATGTCAGGACAAAACTTTGTAATTCTACGATAGCGTAGAGTTCGTTTGAGAATAAAGTCCTAAAATTTCTCAAAACCACCACCACAGTGAAACTCCAACATCCCCCCCCCCAGTGTAATAACTCTGATATAATCCCCCCCCCCCCCTAAATTTCTCAAAACCACCACCACAGTGTAACTTCGATATAATCTCCCCCCCCCTAAATTTATCAAAATCACCACCACAGTGAAACTCCAACATCCCCCTCCCTCCCCGCAGTCTTCTAATACGTAATAAGCTGATAGACATTTGAGAGGTAGAGCCCTCACCGAAGGTCGCGGAGGAATGCTGGAGGAAGCCGGGGTGCCGTTGCTGGTGGTGGGCGTCTGGAGGCGACTGTCGCCGCCACTTGCCGGGACCGAGCTCCTGGGCTCGCTGGAAGAACTGTCGTAACCTTGAGAGGGTGGCCGCGACGGAGACTGTGGTCCGTGGAACAGCTTTGTCAGACGCGAGAACACGCCCCTTTTGGGCTCACACTGAGGAAGGAGGAGAGAGCTTTTTTTAGTTTTTAGTTAGAGTTTTATGGCACTTGCAACACAATACGGTCATATTAATGCCGGAGATTAGAGGTGTTGCAAGACAGTAACAAACACAAAAAAGGAGGAGAGATAAGGACGATAGATGTTTGAAAGGAAAGAAGGAGCAAATCACACCAGAGCACCCGCCAACCACCCATCAGAGGAGAGTGATAACACTAGTAGACACACAATACAGCTAAACAATAAACATAAATAAGAACTCAAGAGAAAAATTTAATCCAACATGAATAAATCTTATAAGCTTTCAAATTCAATTCAATTGAGTGAGCTGAAATCATTGAGGTGAGGAAAATGGGAAAAGCATTTTTCCTGGAGACGAATCCTCCTACCGAGCAAATCCAGAAATAGCATCCCTGGTACTAACCTTGAACGTCAAACGTCTTTAACCAAACCACAAGATAATCACACCCAATCGCTTCCACTTTAAAAAATGGATACATCACAACTCTGTAGTACAAAGATACTACAGGCTACAGAAGAACAAAAGTTTTCTACTGTCACCCTCACTCCTTCCACATCACAAAAAAAAAAGCATAACCCACACCTTTGTAGTACACAGATATACCAAAGATTTAGGACTGTCACTGTCACCCCCCCACCCACCCCTACTTCCACATCACAAAAACAAGAATACAACAAACCTCAGTAGTACACAGATATACTACAGGCTTAAAAAGAACAAAAGTTTTCAACTGTCACCCCCACGTCTTCCACATCACAAAAAATAAGAATACAACAAACCTCAGTAGTACACAGATATACTACAGGCTTAAGAAGAACAAGTTTTTTCTACTGTCACCCTATCTCTTCCACATCACAAAAATAAGAATACACCACACCTCAGTAGTACAGAACAAAGATACCAGACATAAAAATCTCATAACTTTCCGACCGACTCACCTGAAAGTAGCGCACTCCCATGACACTGCCGTCATTTTTCCCCACGGGCTCATCCAGCACGATGCCCGCCCACTCCCCTGGGGCGAAGCTCGCCTCCCCGATGAAAGCGATCACGCCTGGCTTTGTGCCGCTCACCCAGATTCTGTCGCCGATCTTGAAGTCGTCTGTGTTGACGGAGCCGTCTTCCGAGGGGGGCTGGGGGCCTGCGAACAAACACCCGGAATTTCTTCAGGTCCCGGAATTGATGGTTCGGGCTTCAAACTACTACATAATCATCGTACAAGATTTATTTTTTTAATAGTTTTTTCTACCATCAGTAAGTGTTTTACGGCACTTGAACACAATAAGGTCATATAAGTGCTGAAGATTAGAGGCGTTACAAGAGAGTAACAAACACAAAAGAAGGAGAAGGAGAAAGAAAGACCATGGTTTTTCATAGGAAAGAAGAAGCAAACCACACCAGAGCACCCGTCAACCACCCACCAAGTTCTAAGTTTGTCGATAGACTATACCAACACTCACATCACATAAGCGACAAGACTATAACATAACAGCACTTACACAAAAGCAACGTGTGTGAAATAAAGGACAACAGAAAGCACAGGGACGGAAAGATGATGGTAGCAACAAAACACTGGACGGCGCAAGCAGAAATAATAAACATTACACACAATGATGACAGACAGAGAAGAAAGCCTACTAACAGCACACAGCCTAATCTCTTCTAAATTTTTCAGGAAAAACATATTTATGAATGCTCATGACGCATATTAGTAAAATACAATCATCTCATCGAAACGTAATAATTTTTAAATGAAATGAAAATTAAGCTGAAGAGTCCAACCAATTCACTTTTTTTTTTTAATCTGTTTCTTTTTACTTGTCATATCAATTAACAATAGATATGTTGAGGGAATTTTTGTAGCGACATTTCACAAAAAGCAATTAAAATCTCAAATCCTGGAATGCAGCCATTTACCTTCAACTAACAAAATAATGTGTTCCTTAGGTATCATATTGGTCATAAAGATGGAGAAACCACACACTCTTAACTCATCTTTTCTTCAGTTCTAATATATATATATATATTTTTTTTTTTTTTTTTTTATAAAAAATTTTTAAGGTGGTGCTCGACCATATTATCTTAGGATCCTCTAGTTGAAACAACACATGAGCCTGTAGTGAAGCAAGCACAAACACAACTAACAGCAGACACGTTCCCCACACAGAGCAGGCAGAATCCCCTCAGTATAGCCCAAGCTTTGAGCATACACGCAGGAAAAACTGGCTCACTCTACCACACTCTACCACAACTACCTGTGGACCTGCTACACTACACTACGCTTGACGCACAAACAACACCAGCGGTTGTAATGGGAGACTAAAAAGCACCAGAACAGACAGGAACATATTATTAATTGGAAGAGAAGGAAGAATAGAGACCCGTCTGCAAATATGAACAAGTACCTTTCTTTGCTAAAACATTTTGAGGTAAATTGATGAGAGGAGTGAGGCAGTATAAACCCAGCCCGCCTCACTATGGTAAGACAACCAAATCTCTACAAGTGATTCCTCGAACCAAATGTTAGTAAAACTATCGGGAAAAGTTTCAGCAATTGCATGCCATGGTGTAAGAAACCAAATTCAAAATTGAGATTGAAAAATCTTGCAAATGTTTCAAATTCAAATCATGCACTGACATTGGGGGAAAAAAACAAGAACAACAAACATGCAGATTTTAGAAAAAGGCAAATTGCAGAACAAAAAATGCTGACAGAAAGAGTTACACTAATTATCATATTCATCATGACTACTGTCAGACCAGACCCCCCCCCTCCCCACCCATCCCCCACCCCCAGCAAGTCTTATCAACACTGTTTGGTTAATTTTGTTATATCTAGAGACAAAATGTGAGAAAGAGAGAGGGTACCATAATAGACCTTGCTTCAGACCAGCACCCTTCCAACCACAGACACGATGTCCTCTACTTTACGTCAGAGGACGTTACTCTTTTTCAGTTTCAGTAAGAGTTTTACGGCACTTGCAACACAACAAGGTCATATATATGTGCCGAAGAATAGATTACGTGTTACAAGAGAGTAACATACACAAATAAAGGGGAGGAGATAAGGACGACAGATGTTTGATAGGAAAGAAGGAGCAAGCCACACCAGAGCACCCGCCAACCACCAACAGGGATGTTACTCAATCCAAAGACCGTACGTTCTAAGAGGGGTCACGTCAGCTGTGCCTAATCGCTACGTGGACGTGACAAGAGGTGGTGGTGATTGTCATCCATCACTATGAAGAGCACAGAGGAAAAACGACCATAGTCACAAACTGGAAATTGTGAGGGTGCCAATTTTAAAAGCTTGTGGACTCGCAAATTTCATATTTGTTTGACAGGTGGTTTATTGTTAAGTGTTGTTGAATGGGAAATCTACCAACAATAATCAACCAACAGTTGAACAGAAAAACAGTTATGAGTCAACAAGCGTTCAAAATTGGCACCCTCACGATTTTCAGTTTGTGACTACCATTGTTTTTCCCCTGTCATCCATCTATATGATTACATGCATGTAGCCAACATGATGTCATCACTGTGCTAGCAAAATGGCACACCTCATTTTTGCTACTTTTGCGGTGATGAAGGGGAGAAAACCCCCCCAACTATTTAACTTGACTATTTATCATCTAATTTATAACAGTGGAAATTTCCATGCATGTTTCTTTTGTGACTGCCAGCGCATTTTTGTTTGGATATTACCACAAGATAGATGTCCCAAAACCAAAAAATCGGCAGTTATGCCATTTTGCTAGCGCAGAAACAATACATATTCAACGGCAAAAAAAGTGGGGAAATTTATCATAAGTAAATAATTTATATTACAGTTCAAATCTCTTTGTAGCCTGAACCAAATTACATTTAGTTCAGTTTTAGTAAGAGTTTTATGGCACTTGCAACACAATAAGGCCATACAAGTGCCGAGGATTAGAAGTGTTACAAGAGAGTAACCAACACAAAAAAGGAGGGGAGATAAAAACGATAGATGTTTGATAGGAAAGAAGAAGCAAACCACATTAGAGCACCCGCCAACCACCCACAAATTTGGTTTCTCGGGGAGAGCGGTAGTTTAAATTAAGTCAACAAGCCCGATGACAATGACCACCACTTCGTCACAGCTGACCAACACCCGTCTTACAATAGCACGTTCTTCGCATCTACCTTTCTTCAATGCACAGTTCGCGTCATGGGCGTATCTGTCGGCGTGGCTGGGGGCGAATCCTACACCTCGAGCTGACTTGGCGATTGCACCTTTGTAGACAACAAACAACAAGCGTACCAGACCACAGGAGAAAGGCCATGCATGGGCAAAAAATGTTTTTAAAAATTATTCAAAATATAAAAAATGTTAGTGTGTGAACCAACAAAAAGCAAAAACAGAAATGAAATCAAAGCAAGCAATTTTTTTAAGACAGTCATCTCAATCCCTGTTTTTTAGTGAGGCCATCTTGTCACATTGCCTGTTTTTTCCTGCATATAATTTGCCTGAAGGAAGGTGGTATGCTCACTTCTAAGAAACGAATTCCGAAAGCTTCTCATTCTACAAGATCCACCAGCAGCAGAGGTACAAAGAGAGAAAATATATTCAGGTCAGGCTCTACTTCAGCAATTCACAGCAAAGGCTAGCCATAAAAGCCAGAAATTCAGAGCCACAGACCCTATTTTCTTCATGTTAATATAGTGTAAAGCGCATAGAGCCTGCTGTTGAGCGGGGATATGCACTATACAAATGCTATTTATTATTTATTATTATTATTTATTATGTTTTGAGTGTGCAAACATCCCCCCCCCCTCTCCCTGAATGGGGACAAAATCCATTACGTACGGAGACACTTTCACACGTCTCCTCTAGAAGCAAGTATGTCTGAGAACTACCCAAACATCTTCTTCTCCCATACAAAGTAAAACAACAGTGTTCTCTTCATAGTGGAAATCATCCATTCGATTTGACAGGTGAAGATATTCGCTCAGTGTTTGTTCTAAGGTTTGCTAAACATAACAAGGTGTCTTCGGGGGAAAAGTTTGGGGGTGGGGTGGGTCCGAAAAAAATCTGAGAATCATCATCACATTCCATCCCCAGCATCAGATGGAAAAGGAGTCAGGTATAAGGACAGGATAGGTATGCAAGGCATCTCAGGACAAACTAGCCCTCTGGATTGTTCAGAAATATAGCACGGGATAACATACAGACAGCTAAGCAAAACAGAGAGACACTAATGCTGCAGATAACAAAAAAAATTTGATAACAAGGGCAGAACATTCAGCACACAGAATTAGCTTACAAAATCCAGTTTCACAATGCAGCAGGACCAAAAAGTCACCATTCTAGAGGAGAAACCAAGATGCTAAATGAAAAAGTTGCCAACAATAAAATCTGCAATTTTATAGAGATTCTTTGTTCATTGTGGGGTCATTTATTTCAATGGGGCCGTAACTCGGCATCCAGACCTAGAGATTGTTTCAAATGACAAGTTTTAGCCAAGTACCCTGAATTCAACACTTTGTGAGAGATGGAGCCTTGATACCCAAAAGGACATCAAGTTGAGAGGAAAAATATCCAAAGATCAAGAAAATTTGGACCCCATGAAGATTCAAATCCTTAACTTTTCGCAAGTTAGCCAAGAACATCAGCCAACAATAGGAAACCATTAACTGATTCAGCCCGCAGTGCCCTTCACAGGGGCCGACTGTCTCCTGGGTTTTGACGCAGAGCCGCTTCTGGAGCAGCTCTCATCTATTGCTCCCTTTTCTTCGCATCACTTTCCTCTCATATTTTTTCCAGACTGCTTACATTTCAACCTTTTTTTCTGGTTTCATTGAAAAGCATTTTGTATTCTGAACATTTCTGTATGCCCCACAGTGAGCAAATTTAGATTGTATTTCTTTATTAGCTTTTTGTGAGACCACCTGTGAGGTCATGAAGCGGTCACAAATTATTTGCGGGCTGAATCAGTTAAAGTGCCGTTGGCCAGCAAATAACTAACAGACACATCCTGGATTTCTAGAGCTCTAACATCGCAATGTGTGGGCATCAGGAGAAAGAAAGCAAAAAAGCAAAACATCACCATCTATCACAGCAGACATACAGCGAGACGAATGCTTGGAAAAGAAAACATTTTGGGGCAACTAGCTATGTAGACACATAGATCTCATTGTGACACTTTGCGTCCTTTGATTTCACAATAGGAACGGGGTTTACATAAACTGCAACAATACAACATGAAATATCTATGAAGACTAATGACATTCATAGTTTGAGAGATGGGCTGGGAGGCTGCAAGAAACATGCACTTGATAGGACTTGTCTGTTCAAAAACTGTAAAACACCAAAATTATGTTTCTGATGCATTTAAAAGTTGCAGGAGCACATCATCATTCAATGTTAATGTGAAAAAAAAATGAAAAAAATTTATTAAGACAAACACCATCACTAAATATAATGTTATCTATTATCTTGTCTGTAACAGATCTTCCATGTCATGACAGATGTATAAAAGATTGTCCAATTTTTCAGCAGAGTAAGAGGCATGACAAAATTAGCTATGAATGACCCAAACTTTCAATTACTTTCACGCTTTTTATCAATCCACTAACTAATTCAATAGAATGTTCAAAATTACAGAAAAATCCATACCAAGAAGAACAGAAGCTTTAGTTTTTGAGGGGCCACGAAATTTTAAAAAAATGGAAAGTTCAGCTATTATAATATACAGCAGAGCCTAAAATGTGTAAAGCGCTTACAACTGCTTTTACACCAAAGTCAGTAGACCTGGCTTTTCCTTTGATAGCAAAATTTTATTCCAAGCTGGACAAAAATGAGTTCTGTCCAAAGAAAATGAACCTGGTAGACTTGACCCTTCAAAACCAAACAAACACTATATATATATATATAATAATGTTGGAGTAAATTTATTCCACAATTTATGCATTCCTTCAATGAAATTTTTAGAAATTTGGTATGATCTCTTAAACAAATTAGTCTCTCACTAATTAATAACCTCCTGCGGCATGCAAAACATGTTTTATGAGTAAAAAAAGAAAGAAAATGTAAAAAGAAAAAAAAAGTAGCAGCATTTTCATTAATTTTTTTTTAATAAGAAAAAGAAATTTGTTAATTCCAGCTTTTAAAATTCCGCTGTGCAACAACAAACAAAATCCAAACATGCCAAGGTTGATTATAACAAAAAGAGCTGTGAGGACGACTTACTCTGAGCTTTTGGCGGCCCCGGGGTCGTTTTAGGGTCGCTTCCTTGAGAACGAGGGGTGGGCAGACCGGTCGGCCTGCCGATACGAGAGGGCTGCTTGAGCCCAGTGGGTCGTGGAAGACTCATGTTCTTCTGCTGTAAACTCTTGTGTCCGGGCTGTTCACAACATGGATGCCTTACATCTGTCGAGACCAAAAAAATAGTATATGGAGAGGTTTGTTTGTTTTAGTAGAGGTTTTACGGCGCTCGCAGCTGCATAAGGTTCATATATGAGCGCCAGAAGATTAGAGGTGTTACAAGAGAGTAACAAACATTAAAAAAAGAAGAACGGGAGATTTATTATAGGACAATAGATGTTTGATAGGACAGAAGGAGCAAACCACACCACACCAGAGCACACATCAACCACCCACAGTGTAGATGTTTAACGCACGCCCCTAGCAACACTGTTAGGTTATTTGAGAGGCGGGACCTCAGAGTTCAACTCCCATCTCTGAAAGGACCTAGCAAAGTGGGAAATTCGTGTAAACTGCCTTTCCCAAGGACACAACTCAACTTCAGACCGAGCTGAGGCTCGGACCCTGAACCCTCAATCTCACAATGACAAGTCTGACAGCCTAACCACTAGGCTAGCGACACCCTGATAAGCCAAAATCACTATAAAGTCTGATTATATTAGAATAATTAGAAGTCAATTGCTTAAAGAGGTGAGACAACTGAGTAAAACACACAATCTTCAAGACCCTTTAAAATATATGTCTATTCAGGTGTCCCAAAAATGCTGTGTACAACACAGGGAGATTAAATTCAAAGATAATGGGGTGATGATGACACGGCACTGCTTACCACAACACCAAGAGGACTAGAGAAGTCAAATAAAATCTGTCAAAGAACAGTCACACAGTGACCAATGAAAAAGTAAACGTATTACATCTGACTGAATGTAAAAAAAGATGACCAAAAATAATAATGGACATGTAGAAACAAGAATTGTCGCTTTTAAGAACCAGCAGGCTAACCCAGATTTCGGGGTTTCCCAGAATTCTTGACCTCCACCAAAAGTGGGTGTTGCCCTACCTTTAGGAGAAGTTTGGTTTCATTGGTGTGTGAAAAAGGATCCAAAAACTTTACTTTCAACTTTCTCAAACAGCATTTCATCAGGATAGCCCTCTTGTGCTTAAAAGCGACCAATTGAAGGGTGAGCTGAGTGACCAGTTTTGAATACCCGGGATTGAGGGAAATGGGAAAACAACAACCCCCACAGAAATCTTTCTTTTTCCTTTCTTAGAGATGTTTTTATACCCTCATCAAAACAATTCAGATCATTTAGGGCAAACTTTAGCAGGCTGGCTCTCAATCTTGCCTATCAGGGCAAACCCAGGTTGAGGGAGAGATGCAACATAGCAGCAGAAATAGGGTAAGTTGGGGCAACTTCGACATGTTTGTAGTTTTTGTAGTGCCGCAAAAGTAACCGCGGTTACTGCTCCCGCCTTTATGAAAGAAGACAGACTGTCTTGGTCTCCTTGTGTAACGCAGCCATTCCACTTCTCGATTATTATGTTCTTTACTCTGATTTGCATTCCAAATTTTCAACCAATAACGATCTTGTGAAATACCCTCACTTGGGGCAACTTTGATAGATAGGAGTTAGTACAATTTCGACCCCCCGCATGGGGCAACTTCGACAGGTCCTGTGACAGGGGCTGTGGGCAACTTCGACAGGGGGTGGATCTTCAACAGTATCGGGTTCTTATTCAACTTATTCTTCAGCCAGCCACGAGAGCCTACAACACCAAGCACTCAAGCTATAAAGGAAGAGGAAGGCCACACAAAAGGTAGACCGAGGGTGTCAAGGAAAAGCTGAGAAAACAAAATATCACAACTGAAAGAGCTGCTGAGCTGGTGAGAATAACCTTTCTCGCTATTCTCACCCCCTCCCTTGTTTTACCGGAAATGACCCAAGAGGGATCAGGGCTGAGGTTACCCGGGCTGATGCTCCACAGGATCGTGTTTGGTGTCCGAATAGACATAGATCTAGATCTAGTCACAGTCAGGGTTGTCAAATTGGAGTCAAATCCCAGAAATTTGGCTCTTTTGGATCGTGTCTGGCCCGGGGAATTTCATTTGGTTCTCTGGCTCTTTTTTGGCTCCAAACTCCAAAAGTTCAAGAAGAAGGGGACAGAAGAGGCAAGAAAAAAAAAAAGAAAGAAAAAAAATTTTTTAAAATGAAAGTGAAGAAAACAGCTTGGATTGCTTAAAATTATCTAAACTAGATCTAGATCTAGTTTTAACACGATTTAACGCCCTCGCCCGTTTGGTCTGAATAATTTACAACCCTTCAACCGTCGTGCAAGAGCATGGTCTCGTGCTCGTGTCTCGTTACGTTCGTACGCTCTCAGTTCCTTGAACCATAATGCATTGTGTAGAGGGCCAGCCATCGTAGTGTGTAAACAACGAATGGTCCGGCCGGCGGCCAGTCCCACATCCCGCTCAGTGTCGGTAGTGACCATTTTTGTTTTTTTTTACTGGAGAGGCGAAATATGTTTTTACATTATTATCATAATTATTCGCTCCCAACCACATGCGGTAAGCCACCAAGGGCGTAGGTGATTTTATTGGCCTGCAAGAGGTCAGGGGGGAGTCCTCGCCTCATGCCCACACCGGGATGGGAGCTATTCTCACCAGGGGGGAGGGGGGGTGAGAATAGCGAGACATGGGTTATTCTCACCCGGGGTGAGAATAAAGGTGGCCTATTATAAATATCGGCCACATTGCCAATGGCGTTTAGTTGTCATTCTCTAGCTATCCGCTTGTAACTCCGGAGTCTCCTGTATCCAACAACAAAGCGCCTAACTGCTAGACACCACGGACCACAGCTATGCCAGTCAACCCAAAAGATTAAATGGTTAACTGCAATCTCCTACACAAATCTTGTTTTTAAATTTAATAAATTTAAGTAGGCCCTATCTAGGCTAAGTTCCATGTCATCATAATCATAATCATGTCATAGAGATATAAATGAATTGAAAGGGTTCTAAAGGTAGGTAGGCCTACACAAAATGCAGCACTGCTTCACTGAGCCAACTTCAATTCAATTACAAGTAAGATAAATAAAGTTTTAGCCTACGTTGTAATTGTGATCTTGGATACTCATGCTCAGGCAGGCTCATCCACCCAGCCCCCACACCCTTTATAAAACTTCGCAATTTAAACACCCACGTACCCTGGCCAGGCCAGGCCCAGGCTCCTCTAACTAGAGGCCAATCCTTTCTTTGCTCAGCATGAGTTTACCAATATCAAAACAACATCCCAAAACATGACACTTGCAAATAAAAACAACAACAAAGCAATCTGGTGTTTGCACAAAAAAAGTAAAAGGAGGCAAAACAGCCAAACAGTCATCATATGAGCACTAACAGAGTCACAGAGTCAACAGTAAAAAATAATAATAAAAAAAGCAGACCTTCACTCCACTGACTCACAGATGTTATTTCATCTTTAGCTAGTGACTCACAATAGCAAAAAACAGGGATTTTACCTGACTTATTTTGGGGGCGTAGTTCCAAATAATTCGTTCTTAATCCTCTTCTGCATCAAAATCACCATCGATCACAGACAGAGATCTGTTGCGTTTCGGAATCAAGATCTCAGGCACCAAAGATGATAGAGTGAACTGCTCCACAACCGGGGAGTCACCCAAAGTTATGCTTACGTGTAAACGCGCTCGACAGGAACAGTAACAAGTCTAGTGCGCAATATTTCCGTTTACACAGTAAAATTGTATACAACGTATGTTACACTCTTGATTTTTTTGCATTGACGTTTTCGAGGACCTGCGTTCAGCGTCAAGGAGCAACAGAACGTAGCCCTATCTCTCCCCCGTATGAGTAATATACGCATGCGCTCTGGTTAGCGGAAACAGTATAAAAAACACAGGCCTCAGCAAGAGAAACGAATTCCATCTACCTGTCAAAATAATCTCGATCAACAGCAAATGGCCATGGCAGCATAGCAAGCTAAAAATGCCGGAAGTATTCCTGGTGGCAGGCAATACACAAAAAGGGGGGGGGGGAGTGGGATGCTATACAAGATTTGACAAGCATTCTTTAAACAGAATCTGACCGAAACAATGATGAAACCTATTTCCAGGAACTAGCGTTTACCACCTAAGTGCAAATTGCAAATTAATTAATGTACCCTACTCGCGCTGTCAACTTACTCAAATTTCCACCCCCTACCCCTACTCCACCGTC